TGGTGCTGTATCTGAGCCAGATTCATTTAATGGTAGGCCTTTCTTGCCAAATGTTGCGGCCGAGATTGGGTCTGGCCCGCTTGGCCTCTTCCTACTGGATTATGAACCTGGCGCTGTATCTGCACCAGATTCATTTTCCGGTGGGCCTTTCTTGCCAAATGCAAAAAGTTTGGGCGCCTTTTCGCGTGGGCGGTTTCCACCAATTATCCCAATTCTGAGGTTCGGCAATTCCAAGCTTTGGCAAGTCCCAAGCTTCGGCAAGTCCTGAAGTTCCGCAAGTCCCGAGGTTCGGCCAGTCCTGAGGTTCGGTTTGGGCAAAGGCAAAACACAGGTTGGATGTCCCACCTGACCTACCTGTCTTCCCCCGAACGTAGGGCACCCTGAAAATGAATGTATACAAGGTAGGCTTCAGGCCCGATACAGTAAAAATGGGGGTGTGTATACAAGGTATACAAGGTAGGTTTCAGGCCCGATTCATTTTCCCGAGGTTCGGCCAGTCCTGAGGTTCGGAAAGACATCCTGTATACATTCAAAATCAGGGCTCGTTGTGTTCGGGGGAGGATGGGTAGTACTTTCTTTTTTTTTTCTTGGATGCATGTGGCAGCAAATGAAGACGAGATTCGTTCGAGAAAAGAGAAGGACCGGGGCCATGGTCTCACTAGCCCGGATTCATTTTTTCTGACCAAAGTTGTAAAAGATCGACGGCCAGAAATGAATAATCTACAGCCCACTGTCTTCACCCGAATAGAACGCACCGTCACTGGATCTACACTGAAAGCTGCCCCACGTACTGGTATAATGCCCATGCATTCTATTGGGGGGAAGATGGTAGTGTTGCCTCCCTTCCCGGGTGATGTGAGTAGTAACTTGAGTATGGACCAATGTTTGCCTTTTCTGGGGATCTACACTGAAAGCTGCCCCGCGTACTGCTATAATGACCATGCGTTCTATTCGGGGGGAAATGGTAGTGTGATCTCCCTCCCCCGGTGATGTCAGTAGTAACACGCGTATGGACCAATGTTTGCCTTTTCTGTTTCTTTCTCCCCCCCCTTCCTTCCCCCTCCTTTCCTCCCCCCCCCTCCCCCTCCCTCCCTTCCCCTCCTCCTCATCGAGATGCTGACCATGCCTGTGATGCTGTGCTTGTCCTGTTCATGATGACGAAATGAAATGCCTCCCTCTCGCTCTCGTTGGCGCTGCCTCTGGTCCCGTCCCCTTCCGAAGTGCTGATCAACTTACAGTGTCTGAATCTGCGGGATTGCTTCCAGTTGAATGGCTCCCATCTGGCTGACCTCCAAGGTGCGATTGTCGCTATTTTTTTTTTTTTTCTCTCTGGGAAAAGCGCTGTGGTAAATACGGAAAATGACTTTAGCACATGATGAAAATAAGCAGGAAAGAAAAAAACGACTTTGGTAAAAAGGGTCCGCAAAGCAACACAGCTGTTTCAAAAAGTGAAATGAAAAATCCACTAGTCTCAGAGAATGCTGGAAAACGGACTCTTCTGAAGCACCTCTACATGTGTGTGTGTGTGTGTGTGTGTGTGTGTGTGTGTGTGTGTGTGTGTGTGTGTGTGCGTGTGTGTGTGTGTGCGTGTGTGTGTTGAGGAATCTGTTACCAAAATGGCTTGCGCCATCGGAAGTTTTCCATGTCGTTGGTGAGGCCTCAAACCTGTGATCTTACCTCATCGCTTCATCGCCTGCCTGCCTCATCATTGACATATCGATTTCACCCCCCCCATGGATCCATACTGTTCAAAAGTTTAAGAACTTCGACAAAATTTGGGAAGGGAGAACCGGAAGGTTCAAGACATTGAGGCGTTTGACTCCGATTCTCCATTGATCCAAAAGTATGCAGCAGTATACCATACAATCTGCAGGATCTCAGAGAATGCCGATGCTAAGCTCACGATGTGGTGGAGCTGAGTCACGCTAATGAAAGAGATAAGGGTATGTGCCCGTAAGCTGTTTGTATGTAAGAGTTGTACAGTTCTGTGTATGATAGGCCTATCTCTGCCAGAAACCCCCCACCAAAGTCCCAAGCCAGACTTGAACCCATGTTCATCATCATGTAACAGCTGTGCTCTACCATGTGTGCTACAATCTGAAATGGTACCAATGCGTGATATGCCAGACTGGGAAGATCACCATGCAACCTATGGCCAACGTCCTTAGGCAACTCGCGCCTAGTCAAGACCGGACATACAACAATGCTGGACTAAATCCCTTGGTGGTGCAGGCAGTGTCTGTATTCCTTACCATGTACCTACCCCCAAGGGATTGGTGTGTACAACTGTGCGTCGGTCAACGCCCACTGGTGTCCATGTGTGAGGCCGCAGGGTTTTGAACCCACAATCTCAAACCACAATGCACATTTCCAACTGGTGCTCTACCCACTGTGCTAATTGGCCTACAGACACATACACAGCACACATACAGCCTCCGGGCACACATACATGGTCTACGGGCGTCCACATAGCCTATGGGCACATACACAGCCTCCAGGCACATATATACAGCTACAAGACCAGGCTGGGGAGGGGCTCAGGAGGGCCTTGTACATGTTTCAGTAGGAATTGGGAGGACCAGGGCTGGGTAGGGATATAATTCCCTCCGGCTCGTCCGGGATCCGCCTAGCTGTGGGTAAGCTAGGACAATCCGGACTTGTCCCTGGGTGCTAGCCTGCCTAGCCTTGGTGCCTATACCTGCTCTACTTGGTCCAAGTCACCCTCCAAGATGGTAGGATGATAGTCCTGACTGCTTCACACTGAGGTAGGATAGTGGGGATAAGGGTGTGCGCTAGGAGTATTGATGAGAGGAAGGGTTGGGAGGTAGCTTCACAATTGTCAGGATTAGCCGATGGCTGACTGATGACTGCAGCCATTGTATGTCTGGAATCTGGCCTCCACAACAGCCTGGGCTTTAAGCAGGATGTTTTTTTTTTTTTTTTTAATGAAAGAGCTAAGGGTAATGGGATACCCAAATAAGGTGTTCGAAGCTGGACTCAGAAAGGTGGCAAAGAGGAAAGCCACAAAATTTTGGATGAGCATGACAGGACAGCTGCTAAGGTGGATGGGGGGTGATAAGCAGGGAAGGGAGGGGGCGGGGGGGGGCGCATTTTGGAGAAGTTGTCCCCGATTGGTGTGAAGAAAAAAGATCTGGTGCGCGAGGTGCCAAACACAGGGAAACTGGCGTAGGCTCGAGGAAGTTGAGGCGTTTTGGGGTGGCTGTCCGTACTGAACCATCGGCAGGGGTAGTTAGGAATATATACGATATGTATAATGAGTCGGTGAAACTCCGACGAAACAGTTTGTCACAGCCTCTCGTTTGTTGTCCTCTTCTCCCTCTCTGCCTACGGTTTACCGGGCAGTTCTATTTGACGATATATATACAAATCTCTCTTTGTTTCATGGGTGTTTTGCTGGCTGGTGATGGGGTGTGAACCCACAGTCTGTAGAGTTTTCCATCTGGTGTGGGTGAGTGATAGTCTGCTTTGATTTTCGTCGCAGGTACCTTGAGGGCAGTGGTTGGTGCCCACCTCAGGGTATCAGTTGTCGGGCAGTCGTTGATGCTTAACCACAGCCGGGGTTAAGGTGGATTATCACTTACAGTGTAATCAGTTACGTGATTCTGCAGACTGTTGAGGGTTCAGCCTCCTGAGGACTCGGTGAAACTCCGACGAAACAATTTGTGACAGCGCCTTGTTTGTTGTCCTTTTCTCTCACTCTGCCTACAGTTTCCAGGACAGCTCTGTTTGACGATATATATTGTCACATAACTATGAACTGAAAGAGCGCACTTTGCAAAACGAAAGGCAAGCATAAAAAAAAAACAAAACATGAGGGGCACTGAAACCATTTATTTTTATCATTCTTCTTTTAACTCCCCCTTCAGTATGCCTCTCACGTATGAAGTTGAGTGCGAGCTGCCCGCATCTCCATGTGCCAGAACGACCCTCTTGTACGCTGTGAGAAAGAGGTGGAGTAAAGGGGGAGGTGATAAACACAGGGAAGAGAGATGAAGAGAAGACAAACAAAGAACTAAAAGGGAAAGTAAGGGAAAGTACGGAGTGTGGAATGAAGATGAAGGCAAAGGAGAGGATAAGAAAAGCTCAAGAGTGAGTCTGTCCTTGATGACAGAGAGGACACACATTGTAAGGATGAGCTGGGTGAGCACATGCAAGACCTAGCTGAGCATTATCAGCACAACAATTGCGACAACGGCTGGAATTGAGCATGCCCACCATACACTCCCGACATATGGTATGTCGATTGCAGGCCAAAATGAAGGAAGAATGCTCACCACAAAAGACCATGCATTCAGTAGAGTGCCCATGGCCGCAAAATGGATATATAGTGTTTGGATGCGGAGGGTGCCTACAGTCAGGAACGGAGGGACAATCCTCTACGCACATGGATGCAAAAACCATCTGATTGTAGTGATTGTGACAAAGACGATGGCGGCTACAGCCGAGTGTAACAGTCTCTGTAGCTATGCAAAGGAGAATGTCGCAGAGTGTTGGTACAGTCCTGCTGGAGCATGGGGCCAAAGGAATGCTGATCTTCAACATAAAAGAGATTGCGGACAGTTTGGTGAGGCAAGAAAACAACAGCATTATGTAAGAAATCAGTAACATCAGTCATGGCATGGACCATGTGGACAGTTTGGTGAGGCAAGAAAACAACAGCATTATGTAAGAAATCAGTAACATCAGTCATGGCATGGACCATGATGCTGTTGTCCCATAGCTCCCAGTGGTCAGAGGCATGTACGATGGCCATGTAATGGCCAGGTCCGTGCATTGCAAGCAGAGATGTGAGATGGAGGATTAAACCACTCACCTGCTCGAGCATTGCGTAGTTCAAGTTGGCGGTCCCTCATTGCTACTTGTAGGACAACAATGGTAAAGCCTCTTGCCCTGGTATAATTACAATCCTCTGGCGATACATGGGGGAGATCAGCATCAAGCTGAAGGGCGATAGCAAGGAAGTATGATGGTGTATAACACGGGCGGTGGAGAATGTGAAGACAGATATTAGTTGCAGTCAGACCATAGAGATTGGTGAGGGTCTCAGGCTGGTGTGCCGGATGCTGGGCAACGATTTGCAGATCACCCAACTGGCGTTGCAAGCCCAAAATGTCCTGGGTTGTTTGCTGGTCAGTCATTTGCAGATCACCCATGTCGTTTGCACGTGGAGGGGCACAAATCTGTGGTTCGTCCAAATGATGTTGGTCAGCCATTTGCAGATCCCCCATGTGGTCTACGCCTTGTGGGGTTAACTGCAATCCGGGCAGATCATGTTCCAATCCCTCAACGTTTGGGGCTGCATCCCGAGCAGGGACTGTCCCGGGAATCAGCAGTGTACTCTGTGCAGGGACCACATCCTATTTACAACTGGAACATTTAACGTTGAAGGGCATAAGACATGGTGTCGTGGCTGCCTGCAGACAGCTGGACTGTTTGCCGGAGGCATAGGAGTGGATATTACCGTTTGGAACAAAGGAACCGCAACAACCTGTGGAGCAGGCACAAAGAGAATTGGGCCAGACAAAGAAACAGGCTGCTGATCTCGGGACAAGTGATGATGCCGCGAATGTCATTGACGATACACAATAAGGGGAGTAGCGGTGTTGCAAACAGAAGATGGACATAACCTTGGCAGCGAAGGTGGATCAATGGAACAATGGAAATCAGAGAGTGTTCGCAAGCGAGATCGTGGAGGACATGGGGGTGGCGAGGAGGAACRCAATCGTCTGCGGCCAAGCACAGAAAGAGATGAAAGGGGGGCAAATTGGGCAGGATTTCGAAACAAAGGACGTGAGTGTCGGAGAGACTGTGATGTTCTTTGCGCTGGAGATGCGATAGAGGAAGCTGTAGCAGCAAAAGTATAGCACGGGGGACTGCAACAAAGGAAGTTGTAGTGAGAACTGCAGTAATGGAAACTGTAGTTGCAGGAACTGCCAGAGTGAAAACCGGGTTGTAGAAAGTGTACCGGTGGAAACTGCAACATCAAAAACTACTGCAGCAATGAGAACTGCTATAGTAAAAACTGCTGGAGTGAAAACTGGAGCTCTAGAAACTACAGCGGTGTAAACTGGAGTTGTCGAAGCTGCAGGAGCCGAAATTGCAGTAGTGGAAACTGCAGTAGCAACAGATGAGCAAGCAGGAGCAGGACAAGAGCGACGAGGGGGCAAAGAAGAAAGTGGATGATACAGGGACCATCGCAGAGTGCGTCGGAACCACTGAGAGAGATGCGTTACATGTGTAGGATAGCGGCACTGGCCGGAGCACATGTAGCAGGTCCACCCTTTAGCAAGGGTTCGTGGGGAATGCCCACGAGAAAGCATGCGACGAGTAAGTGTTGTTGCCGCAGTTCGAAAATCCTGCCAATTGTTGCAGATTTGTTCAAATCTGGTCAATTGTCCAGTGAACACACCCGCCGGTTGATGGGAAGGGATGTTGGAGGTCGCACTTGGATAACGAATGACAGGGAAATCCCAAGCAGCCACTTTATCAAACACGCTCATGCGAAGCGAGCCATGGGAACGGACCCGTAGATGTATACCTAAAAAAGGTACACGAGCCCTCTATTGCTGTAGTTTCCTTCCGCTCAAGCCCATAGTGCTCCATCCAGCAGTCATGCTGATGCTCCACCAAGAGGACGAGGTTGATGGAGCACGAGGGTGATGAGGAGGAGCAAGAGCAGGACGACGAAGACCTCCATGGCTATGGAAGAGTGAGGTTGAGAAGAGCGGGAGTAGTCCAGCTAGGGAGGGGGAGGAAGACTCATGTCTTTAAACCTTTGACAAATTTAAAAGGACTGTCTAATTGGCTACAAGTAGAATAAGCAATAACCCTTTTTAAATCATTTTGTAAAATTCCTGTAGTTGCCACAAAAAAGGATGTCATTGCTCCCACAAAAGTAATCAAAATTAAAGCCTTGGGTGCGTATTCAGATAAGGGAGAACACCTTCCCATCATGAAAACACCTGCTGTTACCATAGTAGCTGCATCCATCAGAGCTGATACTGGGGTAAGCCCACTTTGGGCGATGGAGTTACGAGGGTAGTGTTATTAGTAGTACAGGAGGAGGAAGGAGGGAACCAACAAGAAGGCTTGCCTTTGGCTGAGGTGGTCCATCTTCACATGAATCACATCCTAGGCTAGCATTTCATCAAGAAAGGCCCTGTTGGGGCTCCGACTGGAATTCGTCTTTAAGTGGGAGAGAGAGAGAGAGAGAGGAGCTAAAAGAGAGTGCTTTCCGCACTGGCAGTGAGAGTAGATGTATGGGATTCTGATTCCTACCTCACTCATTTATTAGTAGAATTTTATAATTTTATTACTTGAAATTAAAATATTCTTCAACCCACCGACTTTTTGTTCTTCTGTGGTGTTGTGCTCGTGTGCATTTGTGTGCATGCGTGTGTTTGTTGCTCCACCAGAATTGCAAGAACTGAGGTGCCTCAACCTGGAAAACGTTTATGGGATCGATGACATGTACGCTGCGTTCTACCTCCCAAGTAAGCGCATACTCGCACTTCACTTTTGAAAATGCATCTGACTGTAATTGCGGCCAGACCTGGATGAATCTGATATAGCAATCACGTCCAGAGCTTAAAAAAAACCCTCCTAGGTGTCAGTATGCCCTAAGACGTGGGTAATTTTTATTATGGGTTTGGAACTGTTTGGATTTATCGCTTTTTATTTTTCCCCTTGGCTGTTTTCCCGGGCGCCTGGGCACTCAACTTCTGCCCGGGTACACGCCCGGGTGCCCGGCCCGGCATGACCCCCGGGCAGGGTTCCGAGCAGC